CATATCATCATCACCGCCATCATGATGTACACCATCATCACCGCCAGCAATCATCGACATCACCAGCACCATTATCATCATCGTCAGCATCATCAAGGAACAAAAAAGCACCATCACTACCATCATCCTCATCATCATCAGCACCACCACCATCATGACATACAACACCATCATCACCACAACTTCCATCCACATCGTCAGTACATCATCATGAATAATAATCACCGCCAGCACTCCCACAAACATCACAAGCCCCCATCGTCATCATCATCACTCCCATACCACCATCACGATCATCAGCATCGTCATCATTATCATCATCACCATCATCACCATCATCATCATCGCCATCATCACGATCATCATCACAGCATCATCACCATCATCACCATCATCATCATGATCACCATCATCACCCCCTTCACGATCTTGGGGGCTAATAGCGGCAGACGAGGCTCGACTGGGGCTGAACGATTTGGGGAAAATATCTAATTGCGATTTTTCTGACAGATATTGCGATTTGATTTGCGATAAAAATGTTTTAAGTCAAACTTCAGTTGAATATTCACTGTGTAATAGATTTAAAACATGTGATGGAGCATTACCACATGATACCATCAAAATATGAACTGCTCTTTGTATTCTAATACAAGGATGTGAACTTAAAATAAATTAATTGCTTCCAACATGTATTTCTTAAAATGTTTTTATTGAAATAAAACAATCAAACATAGAACAATTGTTAAGTTAAACAAATAAAGTTTTAATGATTAAAATAATAAAACAATTCCAACAAGAAAGTAATAGGACTTTTCAATTCGCAGCCTTTGCGATTTCCCAATCGCATTGTTTCAAATTTCGATTTGAAATCGATTAATCGTTCAGCCCTCGGCTCGACTGCCACAGCCACCCTCCCCCCGCTGCCCCCGCCCCGCCCCCATCCTCGCGTCTCGATTCCAAATTTTTTAAAGGGTTCATTTGCGCAGAAAATTGGGCTGTCATAATTGTTTAGAAAGCACGGCTCATTATCGCGAAAGTTAATGTACTGGCACAAAGTGTATTACATATTCGGTATTTGTGTGCGCGCGTGTGTGTATGTGTGTGTATGTGTGTGTGGTGCAGTATGTGCTCGCTCGCTAACAGCAATTGCTCCTACATTTTGTCCAGGCTATACGGGGGATATTTGCCTTTGTTTGATTCCGACTAGCGGGTGAGGCAGCGTAGGGGTTAGCGCCCTATGCTACGAAACCGGCGACCAAAGTTGAAACAGTTCTGGGACTCCCCTAAGTCAACTCGGCATTAAATGAGTACCTAATACAAAGGCGGCCGGGCGTGGTTCTGCTCACCCATCCCTTCGTGTGTCGTGACGGCCTTCATATGTGCTCGCTAACAGCACTTGCCCCGAGTAATTTAAGCCTCTATGGGGGATCTTTGGCTTTGTTCCTGCTAAGCGTGGTGATTTTCAGATCCAGGGCCTCACTGATTCTCAACTCTGCCTTCAATGAGTAGACCGTGTGCGGACATCACGCGTGGCCAATCGAGAGACAAAGGAGATTGGGCAAGCTCCTGGACACATCACACTCCCGTGTGCCATGCCGACCTAAACAGGTGCTCGCTAACATAATTTGCCCGTCGGGTATCTAACTTTTGTTTTCGGCCGTTACAAAATAAAATGAATGGAGGTAATCGTGCACAGTGCCGGATTATCCGAGTAACAACAGGAGCTACATATGCGACGAGCCCCGCACTTTCAAGGGCCCCGCGCTAAATGCTTCCAAGCTATCAATTCCGGTTCAGTGATTCTGCACTTGCTCTATCACTATAGTACTATACTGCCTTCAACTTTTATGAACGACTGTGTGTTTAAGGTTAGCGATTTGTCGTATTATCTGGCTGTATAGCAAATGAGAAAATACAATTACTTTACTGTGCAAGTAAACAAATAGGGCCCCTTTATAACATATGCGACAGGCCCCGCACCAGCTTAATCCGGCACTAACCCCGTGCAGTATATATATTCGTGACCAAATCTATTGGCCACAATTTCAAATTCAGGGCCCTCCTGACAATGAGTATTGAGGCTCTGTGGCGCTTCTCTGGGTGTATTAAGGGGCATTAGCCACAACCGGGACAGCAACGCAGACACCAGCTGGGGCCTTCAGCTCTTGCCTCCGACGGCTGTCAATCTCTTCCCCTCTCTGCCTTCATTCGTGATCCCATTGACACTTTAATCTCGTTCCATAAATGAAAGCTGGCGTTCCCAACCCTTTTGTTACAAACAAGAGTCCCAGCCGTCCGACAACTCCAGGTTCAAGAGGTCACCGTGATCAATGCCATTGATGCCACGACACCTCGCTCTTGCACCCCCTCCCTTCCTTACCCCTTGCTCGATCGCGTTCTATTCCCTTAAATCAACGTCCACGTTTCCTATCGATTCGTTAAATGTTCTCCTCGAGGTACGTTGGTTGTGTCCGTTGCTTTTCATGATCAAGTTCAATTCCCCCCACCCAACCAAATCACTCCTGCAACCGTATCTCGTCCACCACTTCATTTTATAATTTTGGATCCCGGTCCGCCTTCAATAACTGACCCTCGGCTTATATCGTGACCAAGGTGTGGGCCCGTTTACATCATGAGTTTGTGTTTGGGAGGTCGGTCGAAGCGGAGCAGGCGAGGTTGGGTGGCTTCTTCACACCTCCGCGGGTAAGCCTCGTGGCTGCTCGAGCCATCAAGGCTTTTCTTTTTCCAGTTTCCGGAGGGAACCGTGTGAAGGACGCTCCGTTTACTGGAATTCTCGAGACTTTAAGTGAATTTCACGGCGCAACTCGGCGGACCTCCCCCAACTCAGCTGCAGGAACAAAGCGCGGGGCGGCCCAGCGGCACCTGTCAGCGCTTAGGCTCAAATATGCGGCCACAGATCTCCCGCGCTGCTCCGGATGTGCTCGCCACCTGGCTCGCTCTGCGTCCACACTCTGCGGTGGCAGCTCCAGCACAGAAGCCACACACAGACAGATACAAAGACACGGCTCCCACCCACCACCATATCTCCAGCTCCCCCCAGACTGTCGGCGAGGACCGACAATAGGCAGCACGGCACACGTGGGGGTGGTGTGGCTGGCACAACGCCCGGCCACCTCCGTCTCCCAAGTGATGTTGACACATCACACAAGGTTCTCGTTTGAGGTCAAGTCGTACCAGGAGATGTCAAGGAGCCGTCCAAATATGTCACTGATATTGGCCGCAACCAGGAATTGAACCCAGGTCGACGGGTTGGTAATGCACCGCGCCGACTTTAAATTACCGCTCCCCAGACGGGTGAGGGCCCGGTTCAAATATTGAATGGGGATCAAACTCGCGCAGCGCTCTTACCTATACACCTTCACATATCCATCAATAAACACTCTCACAGACATACACACAGGCACGCAGCCACAAATACAACCACCACGACCACCCGGCACGACGTGGCATTGACGTCGGCATGCTGCTTGTACCAGACTAGGTGCACTTTGAGGCCCATGCCAAGTGTCGTGGGGGTCTCGCTGGCACGAAGACTCCCAGCTGCCCACCCACCCACGGACACTGACAAACGCACGCCCGCTCCCACGCACTCTCACTGGCTCGCACACGTCGACTTTTACAGCCGGGACTTTATTATTAACGGGCAATGCCTGTGGTGGCGCTACCGTACAGCACACGGAGCGGTGGCCGAGAGCCCAGGCCAAGAGCCCAGGCCGAGAGCCCAGGCCACCGGCCGGTTGTCCAAACTCGACGGCCAAGCGGCCATAACTTCAGTCCGACGTTCAACTTTATTTTTGTTTTAAATTAACTAGCAACGCGCGCGTTCTTTTGGTCGTGGCCGTCCGCCCGTCCGTCTCCTACTCCCTACCTTCGTCACGTCCAGTCAGCCAGCAAAGCTTTTTGTAATGTAGTACGAACTTGTCATCCAATGTGATCCCAATTCTGCTGGCATTGTCATGCACAGAGAATAATATATTCGAAACTCTCGCACAGCAGTGCGACCCGAGGTTAGGGAACGGCCCGCGGAAGCGGATTTCATAGAGCTACCTCCGAGTGAACTCTGGTCTGCACAGTAGAGGGCAGCACTACCTCACCCGCTCTGCATTCGGGAACGTTCTTCGTGACACCGGTGTATTCATTCCCAGAGCTGAAACGTAGGAAAATGTAGTTCAGAACCAAATTTAATGCGATTTAATGTTTTATGCAGTCATTGGTTAACGAGCCGCGAGCCCATCAGCCCGTTACACTTGATGAGCGGTTTAATTAAATTTGGCAGTTGAAATCGAGATCGAAACTCGGATCTCAGCAGGGCCGGCTCAGCGCTCTGACCTCCGAGCCACCCGTTCACCACGTGACTTTTGACTTCATGCAACCAAAAAAAACCACCCAAAAGGCTATCTCGTAGCTCCTACGCACGAGGGCTGCGTGTCAGTGGCTGTACGATGAGGGTCAGAAGCTTCGCTAATGAGAAATAAAGACTTTAATACCACCGCTGACGGCACTCGGGTTAACGTCACCACAGCGAAGTTATCGCGTCGGCCGTGGGAGCGATGGTCATGCCAGCAGAGCGCTCCGGGCTGCGAGGTCTCTTTGTACGATTCATGAAGATGCCATGCCAGACGGCTCAGGGACACAACAGCGTAGGAATCGCGCACGTGACGATTCAGCACCTCTCGCAATTCCGTGAACCATCCGTTACAATTCGCGGTCACAAGATTCCCACATTGATCATTATTGTTTGGCCAGCGTGGCGAACACAGTGGCCTCCAGTGACTTGTGGGAATCACGTGAACCAATTTACAATACACGCGAATGAAATGCGATTCTCACAGCGCGACTGCATAGTACGGCGAGTGCAGGGTTCGATCTTAATCGACGAATCCAGTGCATCGCCGCACACCTTCAAAGGACGTATCCACAACAAGATTTATGTATTTTGAGTGGCATCTCGTCCTTTGAAAATAAAAAGTAGCCTCAGAGAAAATCGAAAGGAGCTTTAATATCTTTTTTTATACACGCACGTGAAACCACCCGTGTCCGAATCGCTCGGACAGCGCCCGATGTCGTCCGATCTCGGTTGCCAGGCCGCATTGGGCCCACGCGGCACTTGGATGAGCAATGGCCGGTCATAAAACAGGCGATAGAGGACGTGAGGGTTGTGGGCAGCAGACGGTAGTGCAGCAAAATCCATCGCTGTATTGTAGCTCTACGCTCCCCCGTCTTCACCAACCCGCACTGACCAGCGTGGCGAAATACGGTTAAAAAAAAATAACAACCTCCATGAACAGCACGCCGTGGGGGCCTCCATCCAGCGGTGGATTCACACGAGCGGCAGCTGTTGAGGTGCATCGTGGATCCAGGCAACGGTGCGGTCGGCGCATGCGATAATGAGAGCGGAACGGTGGCCGATGTTAACCGCCAGAGGGATGGCCCCACGCGGGAGAGCGACCCGGCGACACGAACCTCCCTCAGATCTCCATCATCTGCTCGCTGTTCACGATCACCTCGTTCGTCCGCTTGGCTGCGGTGGGGGGGGGGGGGTTGGTGAGGCAGTGAGAGAGGGATGGGGGGAATGGGGCGGCGGAAGAGGCAAGGCGAGCAAAGTTAACGAGCCACCGACAGCTGGTGGAAGAACCCGGCGCGTATTATTGGCTGTCCGACAAAACCGGTGCAAGCACGTGGCGTGAAAGATTACAGCTCACAGGACGCATTCCTTTGTACGGTCGCACGCTTACAACGTGCCATGCGCCCACGACAACGTGCGAAACGCCTCGAGACGCGGTCGCAAAGAAAACACGCGCGCACATGACGGCACTGACCGCGCGCTTCCACCAGGACCTGGCTTCCCACGAGGCAGTCTTTGAGCTCGGCCCCCTTCTCGATGACGGCGCCCTCGCACACCACGCAGCCCGTCAGGGTGCACCTGCGTGGGGGGAGGGGGCAGGGGGGGAGGGGTGGGGGTCACAAACCAAGTGAGGATGAGGCAGGGACATCTGGAATATCCAAATAGCTCAGCAATCGATTGCTCTCCCGATCACCTGTTCGATTACTCGACTAAGATGGTAACGCGCGTGCCACTGGACGGGAGGTGCCGGGCGTAGGCCTGGGCGATGGAATCGCCGTCATCGGCTGCACCGTGGCTCGAAGCGGTTTCCCGCCTTTGGGGAAAAGTCGCCGATTACGATTTAAAGTCGACCGATCGGTCCGCTTGTCCCAGCGCGAGTCTGCTCAGCGGCACGAGATGAGGATCCAGGAATCCACCCTCCCTGTGATACGATCAATCGCCGTGGTCCGGGGTCGCCACCCAGCTCCGGAGCACCGTTGCCCCCCCCCCACCCCCCCCCCCCCCCTCGGGGGTGCCGCCCTGCCTGCGAGCGCCGCCTCACCCCTCCTGGACGGTGACGCGGTGCATCAGGATGGAGTTGGCGATCTTGCAGCGCTCGCCGATGGTGCACACCTCGCCCACCACGCTGCGCTTCACCGACGTCCGCTCGGCCAGCGTCGTCTCGTGCCCGATCATACTTTCGGAGCCGACCTGGACAAACAGCCACCGCACGGCGTCACACCGCCAAAGACAAAGATTCTCCGTGTAGCCTTAACGGACCGTCGGCAGGCCACGTAACTCGCCCGCCGCCGTCGAGAGGCTCGACTCGTTCACCATCCGACGGGTGTCCCGTGATTAAAGGCGGAGGGGGGCCACCGCGCGGCAAGGCGGTCAGGCTCACGACCTCGCGGAAACGGCTCGCGCGTGCGTCGGCGGGAGGGCGCGCAAGCCGCTCCGTCGGGTGGCGCGGCCCGGCCCGGCGAGGCGAGCGCCGCCCTCCGAGAGGTTAAAAACACGGGGCAATCGGCGCAGCTGTGAACAAATTGAAGATGCACCCCACCCCGCCGCGCCCGCCCGCCCGCCCGCCTCGTACTCGCTCGAGGAACATCTGGTACGGCTTAAGACACTGGAGGCGAACGCTCGGGGAGGGGCGGACGGGTACGAGGGAGGGAGACAATGGCCCCAGGGTGAAGGGCGGCACTGCCGCGAACGGCGGTGGTGGCATGCGGGGGAAGAGTGGCACGCAGTAGCGACAGAGGCAGGGCTTGCACACTTGTATTTTTTTTTAAACAATCAAAATAGAATAGTTCACTTATTTAAGCAGGATAGCCACACCGAGTCGTGGGACTCTTTTCAGGAGGGTCCTGCATTGGGTGTTCCATTTTGTTTTCAAACAACTAGAGAGAGTTCTTATACAAATGGGTGGAAATCGGAGCACCCAGCGAAAACAGACGCGCACGAGGGGGCGACACTCTATCCCCGTGCAGATGGAAACAGATGGCGAGTGGTCCACTTGGTGTACTTCCATCTCCTGGCGAGCCAGGGTTACGTGACACCTTGACGCCCACGGGATCCACAAACCCTCACTGCCTCCACAGTGCTGGATTACAGGCGTGCGCCACCACCGCACGCACACGCACGCACACGCACGCACGCAGAGATGGGTACCTGAGATTTATCTCCGAGAGCGGCGCACGGACTGATCATGGGCTCGTCTGCGCCCAGGATGAGTGATGGTAGAACTTTGGGGACCTGGCAGATATCCAGGCACATGAAAGAACATGCCAAGAGATGGGTGAACAGACCAGCACACAAACACACCACGATACCACCACACAAATACACGAACACACAAACACCAATACCACCACACACACCAAATACAAAGATCCCCCATATAGCCTTAACAGACCGTTGGGGCAAGTGCTGTTAGCGAGCACCTAGGCACCACACAAACACACCACTACACAGGGGGTGCCCGGGACGCTCAGATTGCAGCGCGCTGAGCTGGCAACGCCGAGACCGTGGGTTCGAACCTGGACCCCAGCCACTCGTGATTCAACGGAGTCCTCGAGCGTTTGTGAGCTGACCGACTGTGCCCAAGGAGTGCACTGCACAAAAAATACCATCAAATGAATTTAGGTTTTTAAATTGAATTTGTGAAAAAATTCGAGCTCTTAGCACGCAGCACCAATGTCACCGTAGCGTGAGCGTGAAAGTGCCCCCCCGGCCCCCCCCCCCCATTGTCGAAGGGTGACAAAAGAGACCGTGAGAAAGGTGTTTCAGAAGTTCTGTGAAAATCTTTTGCGCAGCTGCTGTCGGGTTCATTGTCCCATGACATGACGCAGAGTGTGCACCAGAAATATAGTTGGGAAAACACAAAAAAATACTACACAAATACACAACCGTAGAATTCAATACATGACCACACCACCGTACACCCACACAAAACATAAATAAAAAGACAACGCAAAACAAAGACAAAGATCTCCCGTATAGCTTGTAACAGACTTTTGGGGCATGTGCTGTTAGCGAGCGCCTATGAAGGCCGGCACGGCACACAAGGGGGTGGGTGAGCAGAACCACGCCCGGCCGCCTTTGTATCCCGTGTGTTATTTACACATAGCATTAGGTACTCATTTGAAGCTAAGTAGACCTAGAGGAGGCTCAGGACCAGTTCACAAAATCGTCGTCACTGGTGTTGGCTGTAAGCGGGAATCAAACTCGTAGCGCAGCACGCTAACCGCTACACTACTGCACACACAACCACACAAACACACCAACCAACCCATAAAATAACTAAAACTCGGGCAATGGCAGACCAGCAACGACGCCTGCAACTCGCGCGCCTTCTCCAAATCATCGGCTCCTTTTGCTCTATCTCAGCGCGAGTCCCAAGCATGTCCCCCTCGCCACGTTTCTTTTGCACATTTTTCAGTCGCCGGTTCCAAATTTCTTCGTCAATCGCCGTGTTTGGCGACCCATGAGATACTGCACCGGTTGAAAACTTTCTTCTTCCGGTACATCGGGACGTCGCACTTTTTCCCGAAAATGAAAAGGTTTTACACGGATCGCCCGGCGCTGCGATGAAGAGTCTCTCCCCCCCCCCTCACCCCCCGTTAATGGGGTGGCAGCCAGGAGGAGTTTCGCTGCTTCATCTCCAGGAGTTGAGAAGGATCCAGGTTTGCGGCGCCGGACGATAAACATCGCGGCGGAGAGAAGCAAAGGGTCTGCCGAGTCCCACATCCGAACGCCAACGTCAACAGCGGCGGTCTCGGGGCCCCGGAGGCGGCCTGGCGTAGATCGCCGCCACCACCACCGCTGTTTGAAAAGTCCTCGCCGCCATCAGTTTGACGGTCGTGTAATCTTAAACCGCATTTTTTACGTTATTATTACTTTAATTCTTTTTTTTTTCATGACCCGACAGCAGTTGATATATCACTTTTTACCAACACCCACCGCCAACCACCATCACCACCAAAATGCTCTGGGGGATGGCCGTGTGTATGTATATGTTATATACATATATATAGAAAGTGACTCTGCGTAAACGTTTAAATGGGTCACACGCAGGTGACCGTGTGGCGCTGGGGACACGGAGCACTGACCCAGCAGTGCAAATATCCTGGGTTGGAATCTGGATCTCAGCCACTCGTGATTACAACTGGGTTCTCAAGCCGTAGCGAGTTGATGATTTCAGCCAGCACACCAATGACTGTACACAACAAACAAAATAACAAACCCATCACATTAAATTTGGATTTTCACTCAAATTTGGCTAAATTCCAGCTGAGCATTTAAAAAAATTATATCAGTTTGACCGCTACGCAAGGATAATTTCTCTGCACAGCAGGGTGCGTTAAAAGGCAGGTTCTCTCGTGTGTGTTTGGATAAAAAAAGGTCACTTTAAAGGAATCTCATGAGTAGTTCTGCGATATCTACTTCTGCACGTAATTCTTTAACACACGAGGCTCCCATTCCCCCCCCCCCCCCCCCCGTCTCCTCCTCAACCGTTACTTCGCAAGGTGACGACTTTCATCTAGCAGTACATAGACCATGGCTGATGATGATAACGTTGATAACAATGAAGAACTCTTCCTCGATTAACCACTTTGATCGTGGTTAAGAAGAGCTATCTGAAAAGCAGCCGTCACCACTGCTGCCCACGAACCCGGCTTCCGTGACCCCACCCCGTGTGACCCCGTGAACCCCGACCTCCCGACCTGCTTGTTGGCCTCGATGTAGGAGGCGAGGGAGTTGGCGCGCATGCACAAGGAGCCGGCCGGCGCCTCCAGCAGGTAGCAGCGCAGGCGGTCGCTGGTGTCGCGGAACGACGACTTGTCCCGCGCCAGCGCCTGCATCGGGTCCTCACCCACGTAGTCGTGCACATCTGCGGCGCGGGGGTGGCGGCACCGTCAATGACGTGGTGGCGGTGGTGCCAGGGAGGCCACAGCGGTAACAGCGGCAGAAAAGTAGTGACAGGAACACCAACAGCAACAACAGAAGCAAACACAGTAATAGTAGCAAGGGCAGCAGCAGCAACACAATTAACAGCAGAATCAGCAGCGCAGGTAACAGCAGAATCAGCAGCGAGCCCGTCTAGGCGGCGGGGGGGGGGGGGGGTCGCACCTTTCTGGCCGCACACGGGCCGGTCGGCGCCGTCGTCGTCCTCCAGGCCGGCGGAGCGCCGCGGCGCGCGGGAGAACTGCTTGCGCACCAGGTACGGCACCAGCTCTTCCTTGATTGTCGATATCGAGCTGCGTGGACGGAGCCGCGGGGGGCGAGAGAGGGGGGGGGACACGTGAGCAAGCGCGACGACGGTCGTCCGGCGTCGCCAAGCGCCGCACGGCTCGTGCCGGTGCATCGCCATCATCACCACCGTCATCATCGCCATCGTTAGCCATGTCTTATCCACTGCTGGATGAAGGCCGCTCCACACACCGAGTTGGCGGAGGAGGTCTGTTTGTTCGTACTTCACTGAGCTGGCGAGCGTGGGTTCGTGCAGTTCGCAAGATAGATAATATGTCCGAAAACAAACACACGCCAAACGGATAAATCTTACAGCGACATGTTTCGTGGAAACTGCTAAAAAAGTGGGCGCTGTAATCTCTGCACTGCCCTCCACCAACTCCTCTCATCCAGGCCGGACGGTCACCACAAGGACACGGCCACGAGCAATACGTGTGTGGTAGTGGTGGCTATCGTTGGCTGTGGTGTAAATGAACAAAATACCCGACATTCGATGAGTTCTGATCAGCAATCTGACAGATGCGAAATGTAAAGAAACTCAATTGGGTTGTCACATGAAGCGCAGATGCAACATCGTTTCATGTGCAGGAGGCATCGTGTTTAAAAATATTAAGGGCCCAACCATGGCAAATGCGAATCGGCGAGCCGATTTCACAACCAAACTAATGAACCCGAGGAGGTTCTTCCTGTCAGGATTCATCGGGAACAAAAAACTTTATCAGTGGACATTTTTCGAGATTCCATCATTTGGACCGGCGGCATCCACGCGAGGACCGCCCCGGACAGCGAGACACGCTCGCGTGACGCCAGGGCTCCTTACACCTCCGATTAGCACTGCTGGCTACGTACGGTGAGAAAAAAGTTCAACATACATACGTATACAAACACGTCCGCCAAGCGGAACGCACGCAGCGCGCGGCAGCTGTACGGGCCACGTCGGGAGCCTGACATTTGGCCCCCGGGGGTCAACGTAGAATCAAAATAACGTGTTTGCGGGGGGGCGGCCGCCTGGATGACCCCGCGCCGTGGATCTTTCCCTAACGAGCCGCGGGGTCGGCAGCTGCGGGCAGCGTATTTTTGACGGCGCCGGTCGGAGGTTCGTGTCCAGTGTTTCCCGTGTGCCGATGCCCACCCCCCCGGCCGCTAGGGGGGGGGGGGGGGGGGGGGCAGCTCGAGGGCACCTATATCGGGGTCGGTGGTCGAGGGGGGCGGGTTGGGTGGGGTAGGTGGGGGGAGATGAGCGAGGGAGCGAACGGACACGTCGGGGGACAGCTGGCGATGCCGTCAACGCTCGCTGTTCGCACGCCCCGCGCGCCGCGCGCCCTTGGCGGGGGAAACTATGCCAGGCATGTGCAGTGCTCAGCGAGGCTGTCGCCGGGCGAGAATGAAGCCATCACTCACGCGCGCGCACGCGTGCCCCATTTAGTGCGGGGGGGGGGGGGTCGAGAACACGAGCCGAACGCGGGAACGGGACTGACGGTCTGCGATCACGGGATACGTTTGCGACTGCGTTCGTCCGTGCCCGCGTGGCGGTGGGTAGTAGGGGAAGCGGGCGTTATTAGTAGGGGAGGCGGGCGTTATTGGCGGATCCAAATATCCACGTTCATTCGGAGAATCTGCTCCCGTTACCCGTAGGATGATTCGCAGATATACACAGATAACCGGATGAATTTTGCTGCCACATCAAGCTCACTCATCTAACCTGCGTGAAGGTATGGCATTTTTCAGAGAGGCCAGTTCCAGTCACACGTCTTTTCTGCGAGATTAAGTACAGAATTTGTCGCCACCGACAAATAATCATCGATGTACCGATAACAGCATTTCTGAGAATCGTTATGGGGGTGCAGATATTGGACAACAGGAACAACGGCTGTTCGGGGCAATGTAAGAGGAGTCTCACTGTTATTATTATTTCAATTTTGTGCTGATTGTCTCTGCTGTCATATTGGGGGGGGGGGGGGTGGGATGATTTACAGAAGATGAAGATGGGAGGAGCTGGCAGGGCCTGAGAGAGAGAGACAGACAGAGAGAGAGACAGAACGGAAAGGGCTCCAATTTGGCCGAGATAAAAAGAGCAGAAAGTGAAGGAAGAGCAAAGCCTTGACGAGCTTCTCCAGAAACACGGCGCGTCAGCCGCCACCGCCAAAGAACACACCAGCTCGCTGGCGCACAGCACGGCACGCGCGTCACCAACGTCGTAATCCCAGCGTCCATGCGTCCGCCGAGGAGACGGTTGCGCCTGAAATCAGCTCATTGTTGTGTGCGGGATCCTGGGTGGGGTTGTTACATCGTCACAGAAACGTTTTTTGAGATGATGATGATGGTGGTGGTGGTGGCTTGGGGAGGCATTAAACATGAAAATGTTTTCCAGCACGCAGTCGTTATTGCGCATTATTCTTGGAGGGGAACGGCGGCGATATTGCAAGTCACGAGAGTGCGTTTTCATTCAAAGCACCAGGAAATAAACCCAGATTCCTCATTGAGCGGCGAGACGACTTCTGACTGCAACACAGACAATTGCCGTCTTAAGACCGCAAGAAAGCCCAAAGGCTGGAATTACTGCACACACAAACACACGCGGCGTACAAGTTATTTACTTATAATATCAGTGCATTTTTCTGCATTTGCACATACAAATATTTCACAGATAAACAAACTTGAAAGGGTGGGGGGGGGGGTAACCGAGTTGTTTTTTTTTATCCAGTAATGGAGTTGTGAGCGCGAGAGTTTAAGTGTGACACACACCAGCTCGCCGCTCGCTCCATATTTTTCCAATCTCCCCACTCGCTCCTCCCTCGGGTGGGTGGCCGCCACCCACCGCGGAATTTTCTCTACAATTCTTACACAGCGGCCTCCAATTCCCATCCATAAATGACGCTTGCGGATCACGTTTGCCAGCACCGCGGAAGAAACCAATTCATTTCAAAGGATAACATATACGTATATATAAAAAAAAAGAATAATAAGCGTTCGCAAGCGCTGGCGAGTGCGCTACGGCAGACAACCCTGACTGCTGCTGCCCTCCTCCTCTCCTCGTCACGACGAGGAGGCTCTGACACGTCGCTGATCGTCACGGTCGCGCGTGCGGTAACGGCGATGCCCCCGCGGTGGTGACTACGATATGGCCGTGCGTGTGGCATGGATGCTCGTCAGAGGATCGCAACCGGGTACCCGATACCCGTACCCTACCCGATACCCGGCTACCCGTATCCGGCTGGGTACGGGTACGGGTACCCGTTTGCGACCCTGGTGCGGCCGGGTACGGGTACGGGTAGACCGTCAGTCACTGGTGAGTAACTGTTTGTCACTCATTTCCCAACGTTTTGTCTCTTCTCACAATTCAAGTTCCTAGAATCAACCCACCCGCGCCTGCAACATGGCTTCATCCCAGAGGTCGCAATCAGGTACCCGATACCCACACCCTACCCGTACCCGGCCGGGTACGGGTACGGGTAGGGTATGGGTACGGCCGGGTACGGGTACCCGTTTGCGACCTCTGATGCTCGTCTCCCCCGCCGCCCGCACGTATGCGCTGGCGCATCTGTGCATTGTTGGCGGTGTCAACTTTGACCCCCTCTGAGAGTCACGAGAATCTGCGGCATGGTGACCACTGCCCAGCACCTGCTGCGTGCCGTGGCCCGGGCTGCACCGTGGCCCCGGGCGGCCGAGGCATGTTGCCAGGTGGCGGTGGCAGTGGTAGTAATGGAAGCGGCCGGTCGAGTGGTGTCCTCGTGTGAAGGGACTAAGGCCTCTGAACCCGCGATGCACCTACCGCCCACAAGCTCGACTGAATATTTATCGAGAAATTCCTCACCGAGCCTCAAGACTCTACTTTAAAGTGGTTCCGGCTACATGTGGATGTTTGATGACATCCATTCATGAGTGTTGGGCTTTACGTGGAAGAAAACCTGAGAAAACCTATGATGCACATGAGCAGATAACATTTACAACTCAGCACAGACGGATTCAAGAATTTATTTTCTGTACTTGCACCTGCTGGCGAAGTTCACCACACTTCCCATCAAGGTGCTAACCAGGCTCCTCCCTGCTTAGCACCCGAGAGCTGGTGGAATCAGGCACCATCAGGGTGATTTGGTAACCCGCTAAATCACCTGTGCTGGCACGAAGAGCACCAGGAGAAAAGCCACGCTGCGTGAGGGCATGACACTGAGAAGTGCGCACGGACAGGTTCACAAAGTCGCTTCCTGAACTACGGTAGCGGCCGTGGGCACCATGCCGTCGACCACACAACAACCTCGTGCAGTGGGGTTGGTGGGTGGTTGATTGGTTGGGTGAGTCGGTGGGTGGGTGGGTATATCTGCAATTCACCGGCTCTCAGACAAAGCAACTGAATGGCCAAATCACTAAAACTGGAATTCTTGCTCTTCATTGGCCACACAAAATCATCATCATTAGCAGCCCAGCGTGGCTTGGGTTTCTACGATTTCTTTATTTGTTTCGCCTCTGCACGATTGACCGACCTTGCGTCCATAGAGCGCAACAACGTGCATGCGCCCCCATGGCCGGATATGAAAAACGTTCTTTAGCAGGTGGCGGGAACATCGGTGGAGCGTCAAACTAAGCAAAACTGAACGCAGGTCAGCGCAGCCCTGACCTCTTTGCGGGAGATCTCCCTCAGTGTCGAGCAGGAGAGAGGAGGAAATGGGATATTCATCGGCTCTCTCAGGAGCCAGGACGTGCTCATGCGCTCGCACCACAAATACCCTCGCGAAAAGCACCGCACGATAAAACGCAAACAACAACTTCCATTTGCAAGGCGCTGAGTGGCGTAAGCAAGCGTCTCGAAGGTGCAATGATTCACCCAGCTACTCACAGCCAATCCTGTTCAGAATCACAATCCAGGGTCCTTTTTAAATTCAAGAATCCATTCCTTTTTTCCAACACTCCGGTGAATGTAGCGGCCTCTAGTGGCTGCAGTAAGTCACGTGAACCCGCTGCGTGCGAATCGAAATATAGACTCTTACGCGTGCGCGATAACGTGTGCGTC